CCCCCAAGAGGTTTAAATTTCTTAGGTTTAAAAGCTTTATCATAATCAATGCACTATTCACACTTCCTGTACTACGACGTATTTATGCATTGTCATACCAGAATTAATTTTGTCTCAAGCTTTTATATAATTCTCAATTGTTTGAAAATGAAGATCAAAGGAACAGAGTACTATTGAATAAATATATATTTCTACACTTAGTGTAAGTGTAAGAGGGGAACATACAGCCTTCAGTATATACTAGAAGGATCATGGTGATGCTGTACATCAGATATTACAATTCCCTGTCAGACTTGGATCATAAATGTTTACCAAAACATGTCATTACATGTAAATTTCTTCATGATTAAAGACTGTGATAAAATGTATTTCTGTAAACAGAAGTTAATATTTGCTTATTTTAGACACTCTAAATAACAATTAAGTTAGGAATTATTTGATAAGGTAAATACAATTCGTCTTCTCCCCCACCCTTATTTCGAGTTATAAATTTTGGTGTATAACCATAAATATTATATTATAAATATTGAGATAAGATACAATTGCATGCAAAACATTTAGTACACAGGATAATCCTGGAGGGCATTGACCCCTCAAAAATGAAATTGACCCTTCCATGTTCAAATTTAATCTTACATAGAATAACCCTCTTAATTTTGATTAGTCTTATTTTTTACATTATTATTTAAGGGAATTAATGGAAAAAAACTATAAGCATCACTTTCGGATAATATTAATGTTTCAATTAGTGATGAGATGAAGTCATGAGTCAATGGCAAGATCAAAATGATCTTTTTACATTTGAGATATATATTTAATTGAAATTGTCAAGAAAAGTTAAACTTGCTTCTATATTTGATATGATTTTTATGAATTTCACGGTCAATATGAATGCCTGTATCATGCAAACTTATCCTCAACCATGCCATTTTTACACAATATTATTTTTGTATTTTCAGTTCCTATCTCAACTTAAATTGTTACCAGTCTGCCATCATAATTGGGGCCACATTACAGCAACAGATTCACCAGACGTGAAGGAAATCAAAGAGGAAGCAGTCATAATCTCTCTAAGACAGTCAGTTGTCAGAGGACATTTACAGCATAAATAAGGATCCATGGAATCTCATCCCAGAGTGTGTCAAACAAGTCAAAATTGAACTACATCTCCTAAATTCCTGCAAATAGAAAACTCTTCTATGGACACTAAGCTGTGATAGTTACTCAGTAAAATATGTTCAAGGTTATATAACTAACATGTACATGTTACCTTGCTGAACACCAAAATAATATTGATTATAATTTGTCGTTTTAGTGGCTAAGTGAGTTTGGATAGGAATATCTGTATCTATGAGCAGTATTTAAAAGTATATACCTGGTAACTGGATAGTTTAAAGCGCAGTATATACCCTCAGAAAACCCTTTCCAGATGAAATTCACTAGATTTTTAGGTTACCTGAGACACAGTCTCAAGTGACCTATTGCGATCGCCTTTTGTCCGTCGTAGGGACCTTCCATGGACAATGGTCAACAAAAATAGTGGCCAGTTTAGTCCCAAGCCCCCAGGGGCCTGAGGGGCGGGGCCAAAAGGGGTCAAATTAACTAAAATTTCAAAAATCTTCTTTTCAAGACCCAGAAATGGTAGAATCAAATACTCTTCATATATGGAAGGGTCTTAAGGTGCTTTACCGAAATTGTGAATTTCATGACCCTGGGGTCTCATGTTTCCCCCTGGGGAGGGGGTAAACTTTACTATAGTTTATATAGGGAAATCACATTTTGGACCAACATTTGTTTAATTTCCATTGGAAGTAATTCAATTTGGGTTAGCATTATCAGTATTAGGTAGCAGTTTGATAGTATGCACCTATGAGCCCTGACTGACCCCCAGGGGCTGATGGGTGGGGCCAAAAAGGGTTGAATTGACTGAAATTTCAAAAATCTTCTTCTCAAGACCCAGATATGGTAGAATCAAATACTCTTCATAGATGGAAGGGTCTTAAGGTGCTTTACCGAAATTGTGAATTTCTTGACCCTGGGGTCTCACGTTTCCCCCTGGGGAGGGGGTAAACTTTACTATAGTTTATATAGGGAAATCACATTTTGGACCAACATTTGTTTAATTTCCATTGGAAGTAATTCAATTTGGGTTAGCATTATCAGTATTAGGTAGCAGTTTGATAGTATGCACCTATGAGCCCTGACTGACCCCCAGGGGCTGATGGGTGGGGCCAAAAAGGGTTGAATTGACTGAAATTTCAAAAATCTTCTTCTCAAGACCCAGATATGGTAGAATCAAATACTCTTCATAGATGGAAGGGTCTTAAGGTGCTTTACCGAAATTGTGAATTTCTTGACCCTGGGGTCTCAC